CTCCCTCTCCTGCCCCTATCCAACAATTGATGTACATCAATTTTCCTCTCTGTGAAATCAAAGTACCACTGCATTCTATCAGCTAGGCTCTAACTCTGAGACTAATGCAATTTATTCGGTGCTTTGTATTTTCATACATAGTCTATGTTCTCAGCAATAGAATTGAAAAGTATTAATAAAATTATCAACCCCTTGCACTACAACAACATAAGCAAAGTTTATAACAATTAAATCATCATCAACGACAACAAATCACCCAAACAGAAACCTGCATCCAGCATTAAAAATTGGGGAAGGGTGCCAAAACATATGCCTCCAAAGTCTAACACTATACTATATATTAGACCAGATTGCAAAACTGTCCTAAGAAAGCACCACAGTACTAAGTAGAGAAGACTTTGGAAGATGACTAATGAACCCCCAAGTCTGCAGTGGGAAGGTCAGAACACAGAAGAGAAGGAGGCACACCATTTTGGATGCTGTTCACTGGAGTCACTGAACAGCAGCTTCTCTCCACCACGTGGAGAGCACACAAGACAGAGGTCTGGCATGACCCCAGCATGCAGGAAGCTGGAAACTGACAAAGCAGGATACAGGATGAAAGTGTGGCCCATGAAAAGGGTCCATCACAGTTAGAGACAGCATCGCTCCCAGCTCCACTCCTTCTCACTATACTCAGTCTAACCAAAAGCTACAACTAACCTACTGATGCAAACTAGTATCACCAGCACGGCAGCTCCTGCTGCAAAGAAGGGAAACTATGGCATTGAGTTATCTAAGACAATCCATCCACCCTGTCAATAGTCAAATATCAGTCCTATGAGGAATTCTTTATGTTTGAGGAGAATAAATGGGAAAACAATTCATAAAACAAACCCACAAACATTTCTAAGACATAAAATGGCATGAAGTAAACTTAATGACAGTCTCTTCTACGTGAAGTCAAAACAGTAAAAGTGAATGATACTGATGTAACGAAAGAAGAGATGAAAGATGACTCACAAGACAATGGGCTGTGACTAGAGGAGGCATGCCAAAGGGCAGGTGGAAATACAGAACTGGACAGAATGAAGAAGAGTCAAAATGCAATAGATTTATTCTCCATTAACAGCAATAAAGAGCTGAACTGCCAGTGGAGGAAATAAAAATGAATGCTATAATGTGCAAAGTTAACAAGTTTACCTAGAGGGAGAAGGAAGGGAAAGAGCTAAGAAAAGAGCGAAAAAAGAAGAAAGTGATAAATGATAATTGGGTGTAAGGCGGAATAAAACATACTAGTAAATGTTATTTCAAAAGAATAAACCAGAATAAATAAACAGGCAAGTGATTAGACATAATAACAAAAACGAATACGAAACCAACTATAATTGTTAATTTTTTGAGCAATTATTATGTAATAAGTGTAGTAATAAATGCTTGATTACTGTTTTTTTAGTAGTAGCTGCTTTATACACATTAATTCTTTAATTTTCAGGAAAACACTAAGTAGTGGGCATCATTATTATATGATGTTAAACATGAAGAAATGAAATCAAAATAATATAACAGGAAAATTTTTTTCAACTTAAGTAAACCTGAATCAACAGACTTAAATGATTTAGCAGATCATACAAATACACCAACCAACAAACAAACCCCTAGCAATTGTGTATTTGTGTTTTGAATTTCAAAGATAGGGAAGATATCACAGAGATCTAGGCAGGGGAAAACACACACATATGCATATAGATATATACATATATATGAAAAATTATATATATAAATTTTACATATATATGAAAAATTAGTTTTCAGATTTGGCCATAGTGAATGCATGAAAGCAATGAATTAATACCCACAGTGTTTTAAAGAAAAAGGTTTATCTCACTTGCATTGCATCTAGCTAAGTTGTCAACATACACATGGCAACAAAAGTTAATGTCAGATACACAGGGGCTCAGGAATTGAACAAATACATATAATCCCGAGAAACTGCTGGAAGAAGTATTCCAGCTTTACAATAAATTAGTTAAGAATATTAACAAAAATAAAATTTAGTAGTGATATAGAAAATTAGCATACATATGTCAACAATATCTATATGTACAAATAACCAGTTAGTAGATATAAGTGAAGAGTAAAACCTACATATAATAGTAACACAAAATAAAATAGCTAGGAACATACTTAATATGAAACATGCAAAACCTATATGAGGAAACTTTAAAACACTCCTGAAAGAACCCACAAAGCAAACCTGAACAAATGAAAAAACACAGCATATTCTTGGATAGAAGACTGAAGTCTGTAACTTGTCTGGGAAGACAGAAGGAACAGGTTTGAGACGGGATAAATCAGGGTTCTACTTTGGTGATGCTGAGGCTGGCCCCCTGAGAGAGGCCACATATGCAACAGGTAGACTAGTATGGAACACCATGGAGAGGTCAGCATGAAAGCTATGAATTTGCAAGTCCTCCACACATGCCACTGAGCAACAGCGTGTATTTGGAGAAAAGAAAGGAACCTAGTACAGAAACTTGGACATTCCAACATTTACAGATTAGCTAGGAGTGGAGACCTGTCACAGAAGACTATGTGGGTAGTGACAAGAACAAAAGCCATGAGTGGGACACCCTAGAAGCCAAAGACAATCAAGTCAATCGGGGAGGGAATTTCTTCCTGTATTCCCAGTGCCTAGCCCATAGTAAGAATTCAGAAAATTTGTTAAATGGATAAAAATATAGATAAATCAATGAAGAAATAAGCTTCTTCTAGAAAAAATATTGTGAAAATGGACCCAAGACGTAGATGAAAACAAAACCTTTAGATGAATCCTGCATGTGTACTATATGGGTATGTGTATATGTAAACATAACAAAAATAATCCTAAATTCTAATTGAAGGCCTAAATATAGCTTTATCTTAAAAGAATAATACAACATGGCCACTTCCCTAATAGTAACAAAATCTCTAGTAAAATAGCCAGCCAAATGTGCACTGAATTACTGCAATAGAAATGGAAAAGTATTAAGTATTCATTAACAAAATATTGAGCACTAAGTGTACAAATAATGTGGACTCATTGGTCTTGCAAAGACCCTGAAGACCATGCAACCCTCTCCCCCCGTCCCTAGATGGGCCATCAGAACCTGCACCTTTCCCCAAGCATTGCTGTCTTCTTCCAACTTGTCACAAAATCCTCTTTCAACAAATAACTGACATCTGGAACTTCCAGCGATCCCTAGAGGTCTTCAAACAACCTCTTGACAACCAGATAGAAGCCTGGCATGAAGTTTATTTTATTATTTTTTATTTTAAAATTTCCAGAAAATGTATAGGGTTAAAATTAAACCTGTTACTATAATAACTATTTAGTCTCTCTTTATGAGCAGTTCCAAAATGCTATGACTAATTTCATACATGCAGCCATCAGAGTTACTTTCATGATGTCAGTTATGTTCTTGACCATATTTATTCAGAACCACGCTGCCAGATTGATGCATTTCTGTGTGCAAATCTGTTGTATCTTTAGAATAGTCATCAGTGCTTCCCACTCTTCTTAAAATCTAGCCTTTTACTCTGCAGAGGTTGAACTAGTTCATTCAAACCAACCAATCAACCTACCAACCAACTAGTTTTTCAGCCAGTCATAAATATGACTAAAGAACATGTATGTTCTTTCCTGGATATGATCGATTTTATCTTTCTATATACCTTCTAACAAAGCTTTACAACTTCCTTAAACTGTTGAGCAAGCAAATCAAATCAGTTTTTCATACATGTTATAGCTAAAATGGTATCTCATGTATAAATTATAAACAATGACTGTTTCTTACTAGCTTATCATGTACTTTTCCTTGCTCCCCAGACTATTACTAAAGTGCACTTTTGGTCTTAACTCACAAGAAATACTCTTGAATCCACTTCACCCTTTGAGCCACAGTATTTTTTGTAAAACAGTACTTTCCTGGTTGTCAATGACTATGCCAATCTTTTGGTTTTTGTTTTGTTTTGTTTTGTTTTGTTTTTAGCATTGGGGGCTTTTGTGTGAGTGAGCCTGAGCTGAGACTAAAATGTAAACTTGGTAAGACTGTGACTCCTTGTCCCAGGAATCACCTCCTCTTTTCACTTAGTAACAATATGATGCTGGAGTAGGTGCTTCATCTTTATTTGTTTTAATCCTTTTTAACCTGCTAGGATAGGTATTCTAAAACCTCACGTACCAGTTGAGCAGGGGCTGTGCACAGGCATTTATGTATTGAATTACATCTACATTTTCTGATAACAAGGTTTTATGAAGTTAGCTCAGAATGAGGAAAAATAAAAACTCTGCCTTTCAATGTTATTTCTAAACCATTCTAAGGTGTAACCACCAGAGGCAAGAACAAAAGCCATGCTGAATTCTTTTCTAATTGAAGTGATGATTTGTTGTGTGGTTGGTGTATTGTCATCTTTCCCTACCATGTCATTCTCAGTCACTGTAATACCAAATTTTATAAGCTTTTTGTTTGTTTTCTTAGCATCTTCTCTAAACAAAACACATCTTATTTTCACTTCAGGGATGTACATTGTTTGCTGCATGTGAAAGCTCTTACATGACATTTTTAAAAAGTCATTAAATGCCTTCCGTATGTAGGAATTTGTTCTAGGCAATGTACAATGTGGGCTGGTGGAAACTGTTCCCAAACTCTGGAAATTAGCTTAGTGCTGCAGAGCAGACATATTATATCTACAATTATTTATGAACACACATATAGTTTACCCATTCTATAGTCGTCAATCACCTGAATCAAATTTTATGAAATGGAACATTAAATATGTGAAAAATTGTTACAACTTACTAAATAAATTTTAGTTAAATTATGTCGACTACCATAAAATTTGTATAAATATAAAAAGCATAGTTTAAATGTAATTAAAGTCTTTTAGATTTGCTTGCTTGCCATATTAGCCCTAAGAAAAACATATTTCTTAAAACCACAAAGAAAATAATTCTATCAATGGGAAAATGATTTATTTACCTGGATCTTCTATAGTTAAGTTCTTTATTAACCATTGAACAATGTCTGACCCTAGAAAAAGAAAAAAGAAAAACACAAATATTTGTGAACATTTGTTTATACATGTTAACTTTAAGAACTCTTAACTTCTGGCACTCACATTAGTAGGAATGTTTGTTTTATGTTTTTGCATATATCTTTTTTTTATTAAAGCATAAAGATATATTTTGCATATATCTTTTTTTTATTAAAGTATAGTATAGTTTCAGGTGTACAACATAGTGACTCAACAAGTCCACATGTCATGGTAGGCTCACCACAAGTGTAGCTCTCATCTGTCCCCATACAACCCTATTACAATACCAATGACTATATTCCCAATGCTATACTTTTCATCCCTGTGACTTACTAATTGTGTAACTGGAAGTCTGTATCTTCCACTTCCCTTCACCCATTTTGCCGTTCCCCTCTTCCACTCTCCCCTCTGTCAACCACCAGTTTGTTGTCTGGATGTATTCTCTGAGTCTGTTTCTGCTTTGTTTGTTTTTAAGATTCCACATATTAGTGAAATCATATGGCATTTGTCTTCCTTTGTTTGACTTATGTCATTTAGTGCAATACCCCCATAGAGGTCCATCCATGTTGCAAATATCAAGATGTGCCCAGGTGAAAACTAGTAAATTATTTAATATGAAATATTTAAACACAAAGGTTTAATATCCTTGTAGTGGATAAGATGATTCATTCATTTGTTCATTGACTAGGTGCTTATTGGGTGCCCACTATGTTTGAAGTACAATTCTTAGCACGGCATACCCGATACTTTGTAAGATGGTCCTTTTATCTACTCTCAAGCCAAGCCAAATTTTTTGTTAGCTTTTGAAAACTCCTATGTGTTTCAAGCCTCCATGTCTTTATAGTACTATTCTCTTTGACCGAAATGTCTTACCACTATTTTCAAGACATTCAAGATTCGTTTACACAATAGAACTTTCCTTGACCCTCATTTTTGTCCACTGAGTTTACAGCAACCTCCATTGAAAGTGAACTGGTCTCAGGAAACAAACTGAGGGTTGCTGGAGTGGCGGGGGGTGGGAGGGGTGGGGCGGCTGGGTGATGGACATTGGGGAGGGTATGTGCTATGGTGAGCACTGTGAATTGTGTAAGACTTTTGAATCACAGACCTGTACCTCTGAAACAATAATACATTATATGTTAAGGAAAAAAATTAAAAAAAAAAAAGAAAGTGAACTGGTATCTGTGTAGTCTTGTACTGTAGTACAGATCATACAATGTTGCAACTGTTTATTTGAATAAAGCCCTCAAGTAAGTACTTTGAAGTGGGTAACATATTCACCTTTCTACATTTGGAACAAAGCAAGTGTTTGATAATGTGTGATGAATAAAAAATATGAGTAAATATAGGTTTTCACTTTATACAGAATAAAATGAAAGAGGGTCTGCAGAAAATGTGATGTTTGAGCTAGATTTTGATATATGAAAAAGACAAAACTTAGTTACTGAAGGCCTATGTCAAAATTAAAAAGGGGACAATAGGCAATAAAAACTATTGTGTTCCTTCTATATACTACATACTGGGAGTAACAGGAACTTGACACTAATAAAAGTACTCAGATCTTGAATTCCAGGCAAAATAATTTAGATTTTTTCTTTCTATATGTCAGGCAGAGAAAGGGAGACATGGTATGTTCTGTTGTGTTTGGTTTTAAACAGAAGAATGACCTTATCAAAACAAGTTTAAGGAATTCGATTGGCAATACATGTGGGAGTGCCTTGGGCCAGTCACACAGAAAGCAGGGAAGCCAACATTTCTACTGGTCAAGATCCAGGATTGAAAGGAAAAGTACTGAACTAGTTCAGTGTACAAGCGAACTAAAGCAAAATTAGAGGCTTGCTTCAGGACTTTGTGGCTAATTAGGTATGGGGGTGGCCAGTGGGAGAATAGTAAGAGAACTCAAGGTTTCCAGTGCAGGAGCATCATGGATGAAAAGAATGGTGAAAATATGAGCAGAAAGAAGAGGACTTGATTTACCTGAAATATTCATTTCTATTTAATTTAGTTTTCAACATCATTCATTTCTACATAAAATAACAAAAAATATGTATGAAAATAGCTTTGTATACATAGTAAGCTGCAGCAGGGCTGCATGAATGAAATTTTGTGTGACCTGAAATTCCACTTCTACCTCCCTTGGAGACTGGCTTCCGTCGCACCTGAGACGTAGCATATGACTGATGTTGACAATGGCTAATTAATTCTTGCTGCTTCATGCAAAATAGTTCAGAACTATCTTCAGAATAAGCTTGGGGGCACCTGGCTGGCTTAGTCAGTAGAGCATGCAACCCTTGATCTTGGGGTTGTGAGCTTGAACCCCACGTTGTGTGTAGGGATTACTTTAAAAAATCTTTAAAAAAATTAAAAAATAAAATATGTATGCATTTTTTAAATGACTTCATGTGTTGAATCACTTGTGTTCTTTTATAACTGTTACTTTTATAACTGCCATTGATTTCCATACAGGTAAGAAGATGGATTCACCTTGATCTTAAAGCAGCTCTGAGGGAAGGAAGGAAGGAAAACCACTCACAAGAACACAGGTATTTCACAGTGTTATGTTCAGCCTTATAACCTAACTTGTCTTGAGGCACTGTCATCCCTTCAAAAAAGAGAAGGGGGACTCAGTTTTTCAAATATGTTTGTATTGATACTTGACCAAAGTAGAATTCCAGGTACCCAAATCTTATGCACTATTTCCAGGTACCTTGCTCATTTTCCACATTTGAGCATCAACTTGGGGAACATATGTGAGCAGCCACTGGAAATTTTCCATGCTTTTGCAGAGAGCCAAACATTGGTTCCAAGACTATAATTTTCTCTTAGTGTGAAAGATGATTTAGGAATGCTTTTAGGGAAAGTTTTATTTTTTAAGTTTTCTTCTTTTTTATTTTTCTGAGCAGAAAGAAATACAAAGAAGCTTAATTTGAAACTACATTTAACTCAGGAAACAGGAAACTTTTTTTCCTAGCCTAGATTTGAGTATTTCTATTATGGTTATATTCTCAGTTCAGCTCTGAAAGGGATGATTGGGCCACTTGTCAATATCACTTAGGAGATGCTATTATAGTGGTTTTATTATTGCGTGGTCACGCCAGTATACTTATGGTTTTAAGTTAGAACATTATGAATTACTTCGCTGTTAAATATATACCCAAATCCACCATATTTACCTATTATGTATGTATGACAGCAAGACCTTAGCTTCCAGACAGAGAACAAAAACTTCAGCATCTTGATGGAACCAGAAGACTAAAAGAGAAATGTGCTATCATAGCCACATTGAGAATTACAATTCAAAATTAAAAGGGTGCATTACAGTCAGGAGGGGTGTAGGAAAGAAAGGTGCATTTCTAGTCCAACATCTCAGCCTTTGTTTAATGAATAGATGAATAGGTTTGTGTAAATGTACATATCCAGGGTACTTTAGACTTCCATCCATCTTTATTCTGAGGGCCTCGCAGTAAAATGGAGAATTTTTTGTTTTCTTTTTTGCTTTTTGTTGTTTTTTCTTTTCTTTAAAAAAAAATGGCAAAAGAGCTCTTGAATAGCTACAATGTGAAACTTGCTGAGAGATGCAATAATATCTTAAACCCCAAGAAATAAAAGAAACACCTGTATGACTACAGCTACTGGGAACTTGAGCCCCAAGCAGTGTCTATACTCTTGCTTTGAATTCTTACTCTTGTACCCCTCACAGTTACAAAATTATGTGTTCCCTCTCCTTAGCAGGAGAAGTAGAGGTTTTATTATTGTGCAATCCCAGTAATCTATGATTTGAAAAATGAAAACAAGCAAAACAAGCAAGACAGTTCCTCATACACTGCTCATAGCTGCCCACATGCTGTTTTGTTTCTTATTTCCATGACTTTGCTGATGCCATTCCGTCCCCGTCTCTTTTTCCTTCAGCCAATTCCAACTCAGTCCATAAGGTTCAGGTCACACATAATGACTCCAGGAAGCCGCCTCTACCCACCCCACCTGTGGGAGGGTGTTATTCATCTTTGGATCCCAAACACCCAGACCAGTGCCTGACATGTAGAAGTTAATCAGTAAATGTTAAAAGAATGAATGAATTCACAGCAAGGTTCCCTCTCCAGATCTTTCTCTAAGACAATTTACAAAAGGATGGTGTCTACCATACAAAGAGTATTTGGCTGGCATATAATTTTCAGCTACCATAATCACCTTTTGCAGTGATAATTTTTCCATTTCAGTGCTATCACTTTACCACTCCACCCATAATTAAAGCAAAGCCATGGAAGACGTTTAGACATCGGTATTATTTCCTCACCCCTGCCACGGACCTGAGCGGAAAGAGGCTGCCCCAAGTCTGCTGTGCTGCAGAGAGGCCTGAAGCAGGCCCTGTCCTGTGCCTGCATTACTTCCATTGCAGCTATGTTCCTTCTACTGATTAGGACACACCCTCAGCTACAAGGGTCAGCTACAGTCATCCCTACCCTAAACCTGGGTGGATGGTTCACAAGAAGGAAAATATTGTGAAACTTTTGTGCATGTGATATATGAGGGCTTTGTAAGCAACCAAAATGTTACACTTTTGATTTGTATCTGCTACAAAAAAATCTCTTTAAGTTCTGCTAAAGCCATTAACAAAAACTTTAGCTCTTAATCAGTGGAAGAGGCCCAAATATTCCTGAGGCAAAGACACTGACCTTTTTAATATTTCTCTCTCAGGAAAATAGATAGGGCTTTTGCTTGGGGTGGAGCTCCTGGGCTGTTTTCTTAAGCAGATATTTAATTAAGATCATGACAATTTATCTGGATTTTTAAACTTCGTTGTGTAAGTTCCATAAACCATAAAAAGATTTCTTCAGACACAAAACAAGGATTTTGGACCTCTTCAAAGCCTAAGAAGCTTTAAAGAAAGGCAGCAGAAACAGCAAAGCAGGAAAGATGACAATAATCAGAGGACACAAGAATATCGAGATGACCCTAAGGACTGTTTCCCACCCTCTCCCACAATTCAAGATGATTA